AGTAAACCCGGAGCTATTACTGCAAAAACGACTCTAACAACTAGATATATTCTTCAGAGTTTAAGTGAATATATAGGGGCGAATTAAATCAATATTTCACAACTCCACTGAAGGAACTGGGAAAGGGCTATTATGTAGCACTAATTGCACCTATAGGGCCTATCTTTAAAAAATGGAATCTCTCTCATTGGAATTCATCGAAAGTCGTCAGGTAGATGACCGGGATCGTCCGCGCTGCTCCTCATTTCACTACGTTTTTTTTTTTTATTCCCTTCATGTCTGCCTTTGAATATTTATTCTCCTCTCATTTGCAGCCATCTCTGTCTAGGCCAAGGTTCTGCGCAACTCCATTCCTTCTTGGCCCTTTTACCGTTAAAAGAACAAAAAAGACTTTTTAAAAAAAATTCTCACAGATAATGAACAAAGGTCTCGCAGTCCGATGCAGAATTTCACCTGGAAAGTTGTAAGGTTCCTCTAGACCATGATTCTTCATAGATATTACTCAGATGAGTCGGCTGTGTGATGTGACACATTAACACCAGTGCCCCAAGAACAATAACACTGATATTCAGCATTTTTTTCAAGTGCTGCTGGAACCAGCATTATTCACACACTGTGGTTATGCAACTGTCAGTGAGTGTCCTTCCACTGGCAAATGCAAAGAGGGAATTTCAAACTAAAACCATAACTTTGGGAAATAACCAGCTGACTCACTGAGTCTTCTGAAGCATCACATTAGCTTTGGCTGGAGTATATACTATGGAGAACAAGGACTGTGGATTTTGACCCACATTTATGGCCGTGGTTTTACTCGCTGAACACAGCTTCTTCTACTAACGTCCAAGTTTCCAGAGCCACAAAGTTGCCATAATGATCAGTATGTAGTATTTATGCTTCTGTAGCACACAGCAAGTCTGAGCCACTAACAACGGCAACAATCTACAAAATATTGAGTGTGCTGCAGATAGCTATTTACTGTTATCTGCGCTGGGCTGCCAGTAATGAAACAATAAAACTTTGAGTGGATGAACATAAGTCACGAATGAACACATGTATCGATAAGGCAAAGGTTTATGAAAACAAAGTGCCGCCTCACTCTAAAACGACTTAATTAAATGCAGGGCCTCGCTTTATTAAATAAGATATGCTGCACTCTGCATAAATGCATTAATCGATAGCAAAACTGCCACACAAATATTAGAATAATTGATCCAGGATGATTCAGCAGCAGAGAGGTCGAGGGGCTTGCAGGATATTACCTAGCAATAACAGTCTCGGTGAAGGTCAGTGGATACTACTGTAATGACAAATGTCCTCTCTTTGACTCCTACTGGCCAGACTTTATTTTGGCTAGTTACAGGAAATTACTTTCTGCACCTTCCATCATCTTCTACTCACTCTGCATGCTGCGGCTTTATGGCAATGACCAGTCAGGGTATAATGAAAACAGGCTGCGACTGTCCAACCTTGTAATAAAAAGTATTCACACAATTGACACCAAACCGCCGGTTATTAAAGTAAGAGTAAGAGGCACGGTGAAGAACAGATACAGTGTAGGTCCGTACTGTATGCTAATGTGAGATAGCAGTGAAGTGACTGTGACTCATACACAGCGGTGCGACTGAGCAGTATCATCCAGTTTATTTTTCTCGACCTCCTCCGCAATAGATGTATGCCCATACTGTATGCACACATGCACAGACAGGGACACCAAAAATACACTGTGTATTATATCTGCACTGCCTCTCAGATGCTGTTAAATGTAAGCATGCGAGGACTTCCAGTGCAGGTATCCCTCATTAGCAGAACACATTTCAAAGTGTCCTAAACAGCAGGAAATATTCAACAACTAACAGCTAAATTCATCTTAATATCTGACAAAATACAGAGCAGCTACACCATCCTGTTTTCACTCCAGCACTACAGTGAAAAAAAAAAAACTTCAATATCTGTCAAATCAAAATTGATGGAGTGCCCCGAAAATGTCTCTAAAAATATCTGCGTTCAACATCAAAACATCTTTGTGTCAACAAAAGGGAAAAATATTTTCTCCTCAGACAAAAAAAGCTTTGAACACAAAAATATCCTCTGCCCTCGTAACTCCTGTCCTTTGTTGGTAACAGCACTGATTTCCCAAAATAGCTCAGAGGTTTTGGGTTTTCCTGGCCTATAGAGCTCCATGTGCTGGGTCCAGGGAGGGATATAGTGTCTGACACTGGCTGGCCATGGTTGAGTGAACATGGGGCCAGTGGGAGTGTCCCGTTCCTCTCCCCGAGGGCCACGGGGTCCAACACTGCCAGCACCCTGGTTCCCGTCACTATCAGAAATGCCTGCCTGCCTACAGCTGTATTACTGCTGCTGCTGCTGCTGCTCTCGGTCCAGGTCAGCCTGCTAGTCGAGCGGAGTCATTAAAAAATAGGGAATACAGGTATACAGTCAACCTTCAGTCTGACAATATAAGTGGGGAAAAATACACCATCATTCTTGCTCTGGAAAAAAATAGCTTGCTACCCAACATTCAAACATGGTCAGGAGAAAGCTGTTTTCATAACTGGTGACTGGAGATGTACAAACAAAAAATGATGCCCAACACCAGACAATGATACTCAAATAGCACAACATCACCTGAGACTTCTACACAGATAGATAGATAAATATAAATTAAGTCCAGGTATTAAGTATAAATATCTGGTCTCCAATGAACATCTGCATGTCTTTAGCTCTGGGAAAATGGGGCTGAATAGCAGCTAGCAGAGAGAGGGCTGACCAGTCTACACTGGCCAGGGGCCACTCATGGGCTGAGTCAATCCACACTGCAGCAAAATGGTCCACCTCCATCTTTTTATGTGCCCAGCAGGAGGTAACACACACGCAGAGAGGGAGATGCAGTGATATCAAGGAGAAAGCATGGATCCCTGGTCGAGTACTCCAGAGATGCCATCTGCGGTGTATATTCTCTCATGATTCCATGTAACGTGGCGGTACCGATGAGGTTCCTCTCAGTCTGGTCACACCGTTTCCTAGATTACATAACAGTCCCCCACATGTCCTACAGGGAGAATCCAGTTACTAATCTGTTTGTCTGCGTTCCCAGTTATCAACACTCTTCCCTCTGTCAGGTTGTTCGTCTGGGTTGTCTACTAATCCAGAACAGACCACAGTTCAGATCAAACGGGCCAGTTGCAGCACCAGGACACAAAATATATCCAAGTTAAAGCGCCCTCCTGTCTCCCTCTTTCATATGAAATGTCCGATAAATACAAACATGCTAAAAAAGGAAATAAAAAAGGAAATCTATCCATGTCAATAAGCAATACCAACGCTACATCTGAGATTAGTTTGTTCAACCTCCTTTCTTCTGCTATGTGAGAAGTAGAACTGTCTGTGGTACTGAATGTCTGCTCACAGTATATACCAGGTACATACTGAGAGTATGCTTTGCCTTATTACTACATGGCTACGACTGGGCAATATATGGATACTATGTCAATATTATAATATGAGACTAAATGTCTTAGATTTTTGAGTATCGTAATATCATAAGTGTTACCTATTCCTGGTTTTAAAGGCTGCATTACAGTAAAGAGATGTCATTTTCTGAACTTAGTAGACTGTCCTATCTATTCTATTTGCCTTTACCCACTTAGTCATTATCCACACTACTAATGAATATTTATCAAACATCTCATTGTGTAAATATTTTGTGAAAGTTCAATTGTTAACCTTATAATATCATATTAATATTGACGTCGAGGAAGTATGTGGTTAAGCAAAATATGCGTTGTGTTCCTACTATAGGGGTCATTTCTATACTTTGCTATATTTCTCTATATTGCTCATATTTTAGTCTGATGCAGAGTCACTCAACCAACAATACTGAGCCGATAAATGTATTAAGATTAATGACCAAGGGCGAATCCAGGAGGTGGAGGTTATGTGTGTAACACATCACATTATCTTACATGATTTCCAGTTATTGGTTCTTTGGTGTATTTTTAAAATGTTAAAAATGAATTATTGAATCATCTTATTGATGAATATTTTATGAGTAATAGTTGGTTACGCGTTGGTTGTCAATTGCTATTTGATATCAGTAAAAAAAAACAAAAATGTACGTTGTGGTATGAGTGATAACACTCGTCATAGAGGCTAATGTGCACAGATATAAATACAGGTGTGCCTTGAGATTTGGCCTGCCCTTTGGTGAGCACTGGGCACAAAAAGTTTGAAAACTACTGCATTTAAAACTGCAAAATTGTAGGTACTCTTGTCAATAAGAAAGTAAATCTATCCCTGGGATCAATATTGATCAATATTTTAGCATGACAGTGTCAGTTCAACCAATGCAAACAGGAAAAAAGGAAAAAGTTACAACTGCATCTTTTTCTCCTTCAACACTGGCTTTCTGTGAAGGGGTTTTTGCTTACAAATACATGTCATGTATTTAGTAATGTAAGATTGGCCAAACACCCACAAAATAGTAGTGACCCGTTGCTTAACTGTAGCAAAAGGATACTATTAAACTAATTATGCAAGTCTCTTATTGTAAGTTTACTTAAGCTTAGTTTTCTGCTAAGTTGGCAGATTGAAAACTTCATGAGGATGACAGTGAATATGCAGAAAGACACGACTCGCGCCTTAAATGTTTACCATTAATCAGACTCTCACACTGGCTTCGAGCACACCAGGAAATTTATGTTTGCATGCCTGATAAAATGAAATAGATTTGTCACATCAGCCAGTGACCCTGTGATTCCCGAAATCAAAATGTCAAGACTTCTCATATTCGCAACTGTCTGCTGAATTAATGCAGCCTAGCCTCATTACAGCAGCACTTACCCATAACCTACAGAGAGGCACTGTGTCATCCAGAGCATTACTGCTGAGAACACCAGGCAATTGTGATAAGGAGGAGAAAAAAAGTGTAAAAACTGAGTGACACATAAAGACACAGTTGTGCTTAAAAGACACATAGATATACATATTGAAATCATGCTCACCTTTATTTTCCTGGCCTTAGCTTTCCAGTAGCGTCATGGCTGAAAAAAAAAAAGAGAACAAACAAGACGTGAGCTCAAAATATTGCATCATTTATACATCTGTGAGCAAAACAACTACTGTAAAGTGGTCGTGTCAGCATCGTCGTAACTTTGTCTATTGTCTTGTGGACCAGAGCATCATTACAGGCTCGCTAGTTGTTATTGTGTCCCCTCCTCCTTCAGCACCCCTCCTCCTCCTCTACTCCATCTCTGTGCACCAACCTTGCCATGGCTAACAGGAAGCAGAGGGCACAGCGCTTTATTTAATTAGTCACAGCAGCTGAGTGCTCATGTGGAACCAAACAGGGGAGGCAGATTGGGGTAGTGAGATGGATAGGCACTCTCCCACCGGGCCTTGGCTGTGCTGTCAGAGGAGCGTAGATTACATGACAGAAGGGGGAAAGGGGGGGTTGGGGGGGTTGTAGATGGCGTCTGTACAGGGGGATTCATCCCAGGAAAAGGAATGCCTTCACTCCTGAAGTATCCCTGTCCTCTCACAGAAGCATTCTTTACACTGTTAGTATAGTCTTATATGCAAAGCAGCCAGCAGTGGAATGACTGGCCTGCTGTTGTGATGTACAGCACTGAGTGGTTTGACTGCTTTTATTAACTGAGACAACACTCATTATTCCAAATGATTTAGGAGCTGCTATTTTTCCTCTATCTCTTCTGACAATGATCGGGTGGCCTTTTCCTCATGGACCAGCAGATAACCTCTGAGAGGTTGCAAATGTAGCTCGGTGTGCAGCACATCCTTGATGAGTTCCTTCCCCAACTTAAGGCAATGAAAAAGAAAGAATAAAGTTTCTCAGCAGCTGGCCTTTCAGAATCTTTCCCTTTCTCGTGATGCCGGTAATGTATAGAAATAAGAGAAAAAAAGCAACCACAGGAAATTATTTTTTGTACATAATTAGAGAATTCAATGTTATATGAGACCTACATGTATGTATATGATTAACGTGAGAGGAGGTATATGATTCCCATTATTATCCAACCAGTGTTACTTAGCCTTCAGCACCATAACAGCATTTCTCAGGGTTCACCCTTAGAGAACACACAGTAGTAAACACGTAGCTTACTGTACAGTGCTGAACCAGCAAGGAACACGAGTGCAGTGCTTGAGCAATGTGTGCGCAACTACTAGGCAACAGTGTGCTGGGAGCTCCTTTAATTAGCGCTCTTGAAGTTATCCAGTGACCCACATCTAATAATGAAGGCAACATGAATGTTCTATTTACATATCTTTAGTCAGTAATGTGTGACCCCTGGGAGAGCCCAGTGGCTGAGTGTGTGCAGTGAAAAGAGAGGGCATGTCACACCGAGCTGCCTGGGGGCTGCTTTCCAAGGCCGTCTCAATTCAAACTATAGTAATGTAGAGTGGTTTGTCAGTGACCTGCAGGTCTGTCAAACTGGGTTATGTTATAAGAATACAGTATGCAATGTTTTAATAAGCCTTGGTCTGGTAGGGCCATGTGTCCAAGAATTTTTTTTTTCAGTGCACCATTATAACTCTACCATCTGCGACTTATATTTTGTGGGCTAAGTTGGGCTTTAAATTTATAATATCAATAAGAAAACCAAACTAACTAAAAGGTGCCCTGTGGAGTTTCTTGCAAACACACAAAAATTTACATTAAGCATATCTCAACAAAACACATGGTGTGTGTCCTACAGGTCCAGCAAACATGTTAAGATGTTAAGTGCATTTTCTTCCACAACTGCAAAGCCGAATTTAAAAAAAAAAAAATCTTAAATATTAAAATGTTTACACCCAGTGTCTGAAATATCTTTTTTCACTCACCAGCCAAGAGGACTGGTAGATGAAAAAATCCACTGGCCAAGCATATTTTTTTTACCGCACAAAATAATAAATCGCCGTTTTGTGTCATATTTGTTTCAGTACATTTCATTGAGATAATGAAATTGAATCAGAATTATTATTAGAAAAAAATCAGCAGCACAGCCTAAGTAATATAATAAGTTCCCTTTGGTTAACAGTGATACAGTGTATATACAGTACAGGCCAAAAGTTTGGACACACCTTCTCATTCAATGCGTTTTCTTTATTTTCATGACTATTTACATTGTAGATTCTCACTGAATGAACACATGTGGAGTTATGTACTTACCAAAAAAAGGTGAAATAACTGAAAACATGTTTTATATTCTGGTTTCTTCAAAATAGCCACCCTTTGCTCTGATTACTGCTTTGCACACTCTTGGCATTCTCTCCATGAGCTTCAAGAGGTAGTCACCTGAAATGGTTTTCCAACAGTCTTGAAGGAGTTCCCAGAGGTGTTTAGCACTTGTTGGCCCCTTTGCCTTCACTCTGCGGTCCAGCTCACCCCAAACCATCTTGATTGGGTTCAGGTCCGGTGACTCTGGAGGCCAGGTCGTCTGCCGCAGCACTCCATCACTCTCCTTCTTGGTCAAATAGCCCTTACACAGCCTGGAGGTGTGTTTGGGGTCATTGTCCTGTTGAAAAATAAATGATCGTCCAACTAAACGCAAACCGGATGGGATGGCATGTCACTGCAGGATGCTGTGGTAGCCATGCTGGTTCAGTGTGCCTTCAGTTTTGAATAAATCCCCAACAGTGTCACCAGCAAAACACCCCCACACCATCACACCTCCTCCTCCATGCTTCACAGTGGGAACCAGGCATGTGGAATCCATCCGTTCACCTTTTCTGAGTCTCACAAAGACACGGCGGTTGGAATCTCAAATTTGGACTCATCAGACCAAAGCACAGATTTCCACTGGTCTAATGTCCATTCCTTGTGTTTCTTGGCCCAAACAAATCTCTTCTGCTTGTTGCCTCTCCTTAGCCGTGGTTTCCTAGCAGCTATTTGACCATGAAGGCCTGATTGGCGCAGTCTCCTCTTAACAGTTGTTCTAGAGATGGGTCTGCTGCTAGAACTCTGTGTGGCATTCATCTGGTCTCTGATCTGAGCTGCTGTTAACTTGCGATTTCTGAGGCTGGTGACTTGGATGAACTTATCCTCAGAAGCAGAGGTGACTCTTGGTCTTCCTTTCCTGGGTCGGTCCTCATGTGTGCCAGTTTCGTTGTAGCGCTTGATGGTTTTTGCGACTCCACTTGGGGACACATTTAAAGTTTTTGCAATTTTCCGGACTGACTGACCTTCATTTCTTAAAGTAATGATGGCCACTCGTTTTTCTTTCTAGTTAGCTGATTGGTTCTTGCCATAATATGAATTTTAACAGTTGTCCAATAGGGCTGTCAGCTGTGTATTAACCTGACTTCTGCACAACACAACTGATGGTCCCAACCCCATTGATAAAGCAAGAAATTCCACTAATTAACCCTGATAAGGCACACCTGTGAAGTGGAAACCATTTCAGGTGACTACCTCTTGAAGCTCATTGAGAGAATGCCAAGAGTGTGCAAAGCAGTAATCAGAGCAAAGGGTGGCTATTTTGAAGAAACTAAAATATAAAACATGTTTTCAGTTATTTCACCTTTTTTTGTTAAGTACATAACTCCACATGTGTTCATTCATAGTTTTGATGCCTTCAGTGAGAATCTACAATGTAAATAGTCATGAAAATAAAGAAAACGCATTGAATGAGAAGGTGTGTCCAAACTTTTGGCCTGTACTGTATGTCTAGGGCTTTTATTATGAAAGGTAAGAAGAGAGTGAGCGAAGCTGTGATGAGCTGCTGTTCACAATGTGGGAGGCAATACAAGTTTGCCATCTCAGTTCAGACTTCTGAGCCTCTGTGCTGTATTACCGTCATAAGTATGGGCGCAGCTCATAAGCTACTCATAACAGTTGGCTAAACATTAGCATCATGATTGCTAGCTGCAGCTAGCAGCAAGGCATAGCTTAGCGGATCAGCTAAACTTCTGTACTGTAAACAGTGCCGCAAAACTGGTGGCACTGTGACACTGTTTAGATGTGTGTAAAAACACATCTGTAGTGTCTGTGTGTTATGTGTGTCAAACTTGGACATTGACAGGAGATGAGCAGTGGAGTAGCACACTTGTAAATCACACCAAAATGCAGGAGAGACTTGCATCATAATCAATTGAAAGACTTTTTTGGTACAAACGTTTACCTGGCAGTGCGAGGGATGGTCTCTGAGACTTACTTGCCAACAGAAAATCTTGGAGCTTGGCAGATATTAATTTCGGACCAAGTTTATACATCCATGTTTGCTTTCTGGCATCCTTCTTTACTATGTTTGACCAACTATCAAACTGAAATTCAATTCAATTCAATTCGATTCAATTTGATAGAACGAATCGTGAAGGAAATTCTTGTGCCAGAGACTGTTCAAATTTCAGTAACACTTACGTACAGTAACTACAATTTAACGTTCACAACCAGTAACAACCAGTGGGTTCCTCAGGTCAGGGTCACTCACTGGGCCCAGTTTTAGAAACAACAGAGGGTCAACTATCCGGCAAAATATACAAATATAAAAGATAAGAAGTGTTTTAAAAGAGCAATTGACTGCAGAGCTGCCTGCAAATGAATAAAACAGAACCGCTTGTAAAAACACAACTCCAATAGCTCTGCGAGTGTTCAAAAACTCAAACATGCCTTTGAAGTCAATCAATCAGGATTAGGAAACAATCAAATTTTGTAAAAACAAATGTATTACATTAATTTCTTTAGTTGTTATTGACTGTATACCAATCGCTACAATTAAAGTTTTATGGTTAAATAGACATGTAAAAACAATGTCCTAACTATGCTCAAATTAACTGTGTATAATGATAAGACTCCCTGAGGCAATGAAATATATGCTAATCCAAGGAACATAGAGCCATACTCTGTGCTGAATTATACACTTAATATATAAACTTAATCAGTTCACTCAAAATGCTACACTTTGAGTCCCATGAGAGACAAAGGTGAATATTATGTTCCTCACGCATTAAGGTGTATTTTCATTGCTATGTGAATAACTCAACAGAAAGGACAGAGGGGGGATATAATAAGCACAGAGGTGACTTTGACTCTGGTACAGCTGTCCTTGTTTCTGTCTGTCTGCTCAAGAGTCACCTTTGCACAGTCTTAGCTAGCTAGGTTCTTAAAATCATTTAGGGTGAGGGCTACTGGGCTTGAAGCTTTAATATGATTTTAGCAACTGTCATCCATCTTTCAGTGATGGCCTTGGCATGAAGGAACCAGAATATGGTGAAGGGTGGAGCTTCCTTGTGCTCTCAAGCTTTATAAAGTCTGATATTCCCCAAACTTCCACCTTCACAGGACCTTGCCTCAGTTAAGAAGGGTTAATAAAACCATTTTTCGCATGGAGCTTCTTTTTCAGAGGGCGTGTCAAATTGTTCTTTCCGACAATTCTTTGTCTATGAAAGAACTGGGTCACTGACTAACACTCTCTTCCAGGGCCTTGTTGCTAAGGCCTGACTCCTTGGAGTCCAGGATTTAGGGAGACAGGGGCTAGTGCACACAAACTAAAGCCAGCTTCTGACAGGAGGAGCTTCACTTGCGTGACTGCAGCCCCCTCTAAACAGCACATCATGCTCAGATTACTGAACACATTGCAGGGAGGATGTGGGGAGGTGAGGGATGAAGCCAGCAAGTACTGTACACACTGCGCATCTCTGCATGTGGATGTAGATTAGTGTATAACAGTGCTTCTTTCTGTGTGTGGTTTGTGTGTCCCGCTGCAAGTGTGTGCATGTGTGGAGCTGTGTGTGAAGGGGTTGCTCTTGGCTTCGGCGCCTGCAAATAAACCCAGAATTTGAGCTCCACTGTTTGTTAAACATTATTTGCTGCGGCTGTAAAGGCAACAAAGGGATCCTACCCCACTGCAAATGAACGAGCCCAGGTCCCTAGTTATCACTGGTTATTGTTAAAATCAGGCTGGCTTTGAAAGGGAAGGCACGCTCTCCTTTGGACAGCTCATTAAGATAACACACAAACGTGGCTCCCCATCATCCTGGGTTTATTAAAGTGGGGCTCATTTCAGCTCCTTTGTCTCATGCAGGAACCTCTGGCTTTGTCAGCGCAATTGGAGCCAGATGGCAAAACAAAGCTTCCTGTCTGGAGTGCTTACAGAGTGATCTCAGAAGGCAGAGCCATTAGCTTGACTTCACCAGCTCACCGCCCACAACGTCCACCTGGATCATCCAGGTGCATGGACGATGACAAGAGGCAGCGAGGGTGAGGGTGTCTGCAAGTTGCTGTCTTGTCACTGGAGTACAGGCATACTACAGTCTCCCAGCTCAATTCTCCTTTGCCCTGCCCCTTTCGCTAAAGCTGAACTATTAAGTCTCACTAGTTGTGGGATGGCTGACCCCGCTCCTGGCTGCACAGATCTCTCTGAAACATTCATGAGAGAGGCATTAGAGAGTGAAAGTCATTGTCCCCCTTCACTCAGAGACTCTCCTTCACCTCTCAGCTTATTAAAATCACATGGTATTAACTTTGCCGTTCACAGAAAGGCTAAATAATTCAATCAGACTAAAGAAGGAGTCAAATGAATAACTCTAATGACATTAACGCTTGAGGGAGAACTGCTCAGGACTGTGAGGGGTAGTCACTGAGGCTGGGCAGGCAGAAGAAGCTTGCTCTGCTTGCTAATGGCACAATTAATTCTGGACTCATAAGGTCATAGTAAGCAAAATATCACATCACTCTCATCTCAGAAAAAGAAGCACACATTGAAGTACTTTGTCCTGGTTCACTTGCATTATAAAGGGCTGGAAATGAATGCCAAGCAAAACCTGAACCTTCCCTCTAATGTGAAATAGGAATCTCCTGAAATAGGTAAACTACATTAAATAGATTTAAAAGGAATATATTGACATTTTGGAAAATATGCTTATTTGCTTTCTTGCCAAAAGTTAGATGAGAAAATTGATACCATGCTCATGTCTGTATGGTAAATATAAAGCATATATCTAATATAATTTAATTAGCAACTGGTTAGCACAGCTTAGTACAATGTCTGGAGACAGGGGGTAACAGTTATGGCTGATTCATGCTTGGGTGTGCGACACTTTTGAAGAGTGTTGCTAGACAGAAATTACGTATTTTCAACAGCAACAAACTGTCGCACCGCACTTTTCTTTCATGTCATGTGCCTAGAGAATTTTGTTATGTCACGGATGTCACATTTTGTCAAGCAATGTGATTGGTAGTGTTACTGTCCTCACCATGAAGAAAGTAGTTTTAAATCAACGCTGACTCTGACCTGAATTTAGCGTCACAGAAGCAGCCATGTGTCAGTAGCAGCTCCTGCAGAGCTAAGAGGACAGTGACTGGCCCATTATACATCTATGAACCAGCCAAACTGCCTTCACCAGGCCGACTGATGGCAGACATTTACTGAACCAAAATATTTTTCATGTCAGCGGCAGCACTGATTTTATTTACCCGTCCACTGTAACGAGTGAGGGGACTCTGCTGCTTGAAAACAGACACTGGGAGCTGATCAATCAATAAATATATGGTAAATAAATTAAATATACAGCAGGATACTTGTGTGATTTTAAACAGCAGCCTGTCTGTGCAGATAAGCTTCACTAAATGCAAAAGAAATAGACCTGGCCTGTAAAAAAATACAACGCATCTCTGAACTATTTCTTGGCCATCCTCTCAACTCCTTTGAGTCTTGTCATTGCCATGAGGTTGCTTGGCAACCAACAGTAACTCCGGTTTGTGTTTAATGTTAATTAGAAAATGTTAAGATGCTAACACGCTAAACTAAGTTGGTTAACTCACTAAACATGAGCATGTCAACATTGTTATTGAGTGCATGTCAGTGTTTGCATTTAGCCAAGACAAACTAAGACCTTTTGAAACATTCTACCAGCTAAATATGATAATATTAGCGTTGTTATTGTGAGTGTGTCAGCGTGCTGACATTAACATTTAGCTCGAAGCAACACTCTACCTTGATACAGCCTCACGCAGCCAGTGGTGTGGCTGTCGGCTCATAGTCTTGTTCATACAGTTGTGAAATGTGAAATGCATCAAGGGAAGAAATATCTTTATTGCCTTTGTTTAGTGATTTAGACAAGTTAGACATAAAAGGACAGTGCCTTGCCAAACTCTGTGTAGTCATTAAGTGGTGCATGAACCATCACAGGTGATGTCTGTCAATTCTGCTGAATGATTCATCAGAAAATTTCAAAGCAACTCATCCAAGTGACAATAATATGCAGAACACATTTCGGCCAGGACTCAAAATCAATTCAGCTTGGTAAACAGGATCATCTGAGTGCAGGACACGGCAGCACTATTGTTGGCATTTTGTGAAACTTGGAACTTGTGGAACCTGTGGAACTTGTTACCATTAAATTTATAGACAAGATAGATTTCACTGTTATAGCTGTAGTTTGGGGGAATGTATAATGTAAAACAGCTTGTTGGCATCACTAAATTAGCGCGCTCGTCTCCCTCTGTCTGCCTCAAACACTTACACACACACACACACACATCCATGGTGGAAGAGTTATGCCGCTGGGTTGCTGTGTTGAATGGATTCGGTGCCTGGAGCCGGTCTCATTTCTCACGTGCACTCATGCTTCATCAGCGTTCACTCACACTTCAGTAAACAAACTTAACATTCAGTTACCTGTACTGTTGGGTCCCTACCATCCTGCCACCTGGACTTCATTCTGAAGCAGACATGCCAAATTGTGGGTGAATTTTGTGGTGTTTAATATTTTTGTAACTTTAATGCTTTGCGCAGTACATGTAAAGACATAACCTACATTATGTGTAAGAAAAAATATATACAAATTTAAATCACCATGCAGAATTAATTGCCCTGTTTACAGGCTCAGTCTGGTCTGCCTGCCCACTTGATCCCCCCTTCGGGGGATAAAATGCACTGTTGCCTGTTCCTGACAGTGTTTACAGCCTTGCATGATTACACTGCTTGCAGTGCTGAATGCAAAAGATTAAACACATCCAAATATTTCAATATCGGTTTTATCCGAAGTGGATTTTCAACTGTTTTTTGACCAACATTTGCCACAATCGCCTGCCACAGCAGTGCTAGCTACAACATACTGCAGGCCCCTGATGCATGCAGAGGCTGAGGCTTGACCAGGTGTGGATTGGCTGACCTGTCTTTGACTCCTCTTCTTCCAGTTCCTTGGCCTCTTCATCTGTGGGGAGACAGAGGAGCCATTATCAGTGGGAGCCACGGTACAAAGGCAGGCACGCAATGCAGTCACTTCATCCCAAGCCTATGGTGAGCTGATTCTTCACAGCTCAAAAGGACAAGCTGTGGTGCGAGAGCTATATGATGAGGAAGCTCCACACAGTGGTACCCCTGCCACATCATGCACACACACGCACATACACACACACACACACACACACACACACACACACACACAGACCCATACCCACCCCCTTAACCTCCTATCCAGCCCTTTCGCAAAGACAGTAATCACATTAGGCTTTAGCTGCTGGCTCTCTGAAAACCCACTGTCAACAGAGTTAGGGAGGCAAACAAGTGATGGCTGTCACACTTGCATACACACGTGACTTGCATGTGCATGTGCGTACACACATATGGGCTAAAAATAGGCCTGAGACACAGTGTCCAAGGGACTGATATTAATTCTATGACACATTTTTCACAGCAATTGAGCTTGAAATCCACTGTTTAGTGCCTGATACATGAGATTAAACTGCTAATTGTACAAAATTAAATGTCAAGACAACACAGCGCATTTGTTTATATTCCTATATGTCTGCCTGATTTTCTCTGACTTCGACAGCACACTATAATCCTTCAAACAGCATATATAGGCATCAGTCTACTCACACCACATTCTTCAGTTTCTCTTCCTTTATGTTATGTAGTATTTTGCAATCAGATTACCTATTACTGTAGTATTCATAGTACATATCCCGTATTATTATGAGACATAGTTTAGTCAGTTCAAGGTATGACTTTGGTCATGGAACTTAACATTTTCTTCCACTTTTCTCTGGAGAAAAGATGGTCTTTTGTTGGGAACCTTGAACTGTATGTCTAGAATGCCATTTTAATGTGACCTGTTAAAAATCTGTACATTTTCAGAGTGAAATCCACAAAAGCACCTTGAAAAAAGCATGAAACCACATATCTTCACAACTGTGGTGTAACATTCACATAGCTGTGTGAGCCTGTTTACCCTCACTGCTTCATTCAACACCTCCAAATCGACCAACAGCCCCACCACTGTGGCGGCAGGGGAAATACCTTGGGGGACAGGGCTTTGATAGGAGAGTGAGGCTCATTTAAAGGCACCTTAAAGCCAGGGTGAAGAAGAGGGCATCCACAGGGCAGGGAGTGAGAACTGTTTCCCTTGTACATTGAGAGCGCTACAATTTTATGCCCCTATTGGCTGCATCCCAAATGTGTGGGGGTAAGAGGAAGGGTGGTTATGGCTTAAGCACAAAAGCTGGACAAACCACATAAAAGACGAGAGAGTCAGGAGAAAGAAAGCGACTCAGTGAAGCCAGAAGGCTGTTACTGTTCCTCATCATCCTCCCTTCTGCCTCTATGTTTCCCCTACGCAGAAGTGGTGCAGCACTGCTGCTGAATCTCTTCAAACACTGCCGTGACATCATGAGTGTTTCAAATTTAAGCAAAAGCAAATGGCCTCTTAGTAAACCTATAGTACTATAAATACACTGATTAGTGGGCCTAATTAATTCTTCTTGCACCCTAGAAACAGCAGAGCCTTCTTCTTTTTAAAACCTTTATGCATACGAAACACGAGGCTTAATGACAGCAGTGTTTGTGCTGCGTAGGTTTTAATTCATTTTCTCTCCCTTTGAATAGCAACTCTTGATGACAAAAATGAAGCAATTTTGCTTATTTAAAAAAGAAAACACGAGGAACAGTTTTAATTTGCCAATATTTTGATTCGTTCCCACCCAGCAAAATGTTGTTGAAAAGATGTTGCTCAGACATCTTTGCAGATGTCTGAGCAACATTGAGATTTGGTTGAAAAGTTCAAGGTGAAACGACGTCTTTTTCAAGTCCTTGAAAAAAGCGATTTACCGATATTGATGTGATTTATTTTGTATATTGTCACACTCTCCTCAAGACTCTCTTTCTGATAGGTCCTTCTTCCTTTTTTGGGTTCCTTTGCAGTGTGGGCAGTTGTTGACAAGGCTGGAATAGAAACTTTCTCTGCAGGATTCTTCATCACTGCATCAAGCTTTCACTGTTCACATTTGTAGAACAGAAAGCAGGAAGGCCCTTTCTATGACAGACATGTAAGCTATCCAATCATTGTATTCTGAATGATTGGAATGATTGGAAGGGCTTAATACAGCCCTGCGACAGCCACAGACATCGTTTTTATTTCCAGAGCATTTCATTTATTGATTGCTATTAGGACGTAAAAAGAACTTCAACCATAGATGCATCATAATAACTACATACATAACCCAAGATGGCGCCTATCCATTCCATCCCACTCAGACTTTACGTTGGGATGACGTCAACGATTTTTAAATCATTTTCTTGGCTTGAAGATAGTTTTATAAATATAAAACCTCCATGGTTAAAAAAAAATCATGATTGAAAGAGTCATAGCTGACCTTGTTTGCAGTTCGAGGTGTACTCTCAACAGTTTTACAGACATTTCTTTTCCAATGGTGGTCTACCGGGAAAATGCTTTTTAGGCCATAGGAGATTTTTTTTTGCTGCAATACTGCGAGTGGCCACTGGGAAAAAATTGGAAGCAAGGCTGAGCTGCTTTCCAAGGGGCCTGATTTCAACAAATATAATAAAAAATGCTTGTAAATAAGTCGCCCACCCTCTGAGGCCATGATAGGTTGACCAGATTTAGCCCCAAAAACAATGCCCACGGATGTTTAGGGCTCTGTAGCATGGACTTGGCGTGAAGAAAATCTATATGTCTGTTATTTCATGTGAGTAATATGCACATAAGCCCTGGGAAACATGTGCACCACTGTGGTCAAAACCTCGAGGGACACCCTGCTTCCCTCATGACTTTCATTCGTCACACAGGGGAGATCTGTCCCTTGTCACCTACACATGATATCCAAGCGTGAGTCTGATTAAATCACACGCTTATCTAAATGTAAAATATGCTTTGGAGAAATGGAACAGCGGCCGCGGATAGGTCACTGAAAGCATGTATTAGATACATAGTCATTATGTAAGGGAGGACAGAAGAGAGGGATGAAAGAAAAAACTGAGAGAACAGACCCATGCTGGTGCTGAGATATAACACTGCCCCTGGAACTGAGCTTCCACAAGCTGCTCTGCTCTGTTACGATACACATTCGGGTGCTCCACATACATTATGACAGGTAAGAAAAATGACTTACTCACTTCTCCACTTTAACTGACCCTTCCACCTTTGCTACACAGACACGGTGAAGTGAGAGTCAACTTCAATCTGGCCATACCTGGGAACGCCATTAAAAGATAAGACAACCACAATTAGGTTGCACTTCTCTGCTTCCTGCCTCCCCACAGCTCTGGACATGTGCATGGCAATCCTATTTAAAGCCCCTCCACACATCTGTATTCATATAGTATCATTCTATCGTGAGTATAAGAGTCAGCATGATATGTGAATAAGTCAGCGTTCCCACTCCTCGGCTTTGTGCTCGGAAAACACCAAAGACTGCAGAAGCGTGGCTAGCAGGACAGAATAAGACTTTCAATAAGGCGGACAGAGGATGACCACATAATCAATCCTGCCTTCGGTGTTAGGACTGCAGGCAGGAAATGCAGCTCCGATTCCACTCCGCTGAAGAAAAGGGCCCCACCACCCTAGGAGCCTTTTTGCCCGTGGGAGGAACTGCATTATATTCCTCTCTTTCCATTTCATTTGATTTCATATGTTCCATGGAGCTATTTACTCTTTCCTCTGAGTCTGTGTCACTTCCATATTTATTTTTAAACCTCTGGGCCCTGGTGCAGACACTGGCTGACCTTTATTTAAATGTCTCCTCCACTCTGAGCGGATCTCATTACAGCAGAGCTGGTGGCTCTGCACTATCTATCTCATTTCAAAACTTTTTCTCTTTGCACTTGCGGCGATCCTCAGCCATTCCGCAACGCTAATTACTGGACCCGAGTAATGATGTTCCTCTTTGCCGAAGATATGTGTCCCACCATCCGAGATCCTGCCTATACGCATTAAGCAGAACTCCCCCTGGATTCTCAAAGTTCCTTGAGCAGTTAACATCTCATCGCTGCCTTTCTGCTCTATCTCCCTCCCGCTCTCGTTGTGCCTCCCACATGATCTAGGCAACATGTCGCAATTATGCATATCATCTACTGGCCCACTATGTGAAGAGTTTAAGGAGTCATTCTGCATTTAAATGAAGGCCCTCATAAGGGCTGAAAGGGCCTGAGAGCATGATAGGTTAGCATCCATTATTCAGTAAGCCCTTGAACTGTGTACGCAGCAGGCCAACACAGTCCAAGTGAAAAACAGGAAATCATTTCATGACTTTATTTTTTGTGCATATAGCTCCAAAGTTGCTCTGAGATTCACATTTCAAATTGCCCCTAATACAGGCAAGTCAGCCCAAAAAGCTTTTATCTAACCTTGAGGACTAAACATGGATTTTCAAGAGAGTCATCACCAATGAATTGTATTCCTAGTAAGAATATACACTGGTACTGAATGTGCAGAGCCACATCTCCAACCCCCCCCCGCCCCCCCCCCTTCCCTCCTCTACCTTCTCTCCTGGCCTCCTCGCAGCTCTCCTTGATCTTCCTGCGGCAGACAGCAGCCAGGGCAATGAGCAGCACCAGCAGACACACGGCCAGGCCAACAGTTACCCACAGAGCCACCGGGGGGAACGCGATGTTCTGACCTGAAGCAAAGGGCAGAGGGAGGAGGGAGGGACAGGGGGGGAGAGCCTCATTATTCACTCTTGCAGAGCTAAAATAAGAGCACAACTGTCACGGCTGTATCCATCACCATTATTTCACCATTTGACAATTTTTGCTGTTAGAGTCCGTTATCATAAAAATCCTAAATTATCCGGACTGCAGAACATGAAGCGCAACACGATGACACTGATGATGATCATTGCCATCATTATCTCCATTATCGTCGTCAAGCTCGTCATATCATCTCCGCATAAGGTTTGACTTTGAGGGAGAGCGGGGCTGTCAGAGAAAACCGAAATGAGTGTGAACCTTTGCTTAATGTGAATGGAGTAAGAGCTTCTTTACTAGTGTCCAATTAAGACACTTGAGTCACTCAATTGAGTCCAGATGGCAGATAGCTAAGCAGTCGCACAAGACTGTGTTGTCGTTTCACTCAAACAGCATTGGCACAGCATTAAGAGGATGTTGGCGCTAACTATCCCACCCCCTGCCTTCTGCTACACATTGCTCAGATGTCTCGAGTTCTGATGCGCTTGCTTTAATATTCTATAACTTCTCTAATGTCTACAATATCATTTTCAGTCTGAACGGGAATGAAATGCCAATATTCAGTGATTCATTTTGAATAGGAGCAAGGTAAGGTTTTTAACGAGTATAATGATAGCACATCTTTCCGACTGCACTACACTAAAATTACTTTGAAGACAATTAGACATCAAAATGAGTGACAGTATGTTGGCAAACTGCAAACTGATGATGAGGAATAAAAACTGGTCAGCAGGACAAAAAAAAAAGAAAAAAAAAAAGATATCAGAGACACAGCCAAATTTCCCTGGGGTATTCAAACTGAACAGAGGGAGAAGAAAAGAAAACAGCAGAGCCACTAAATAGCTGTGAGCCTGGCTGTAGCACAAACAGGCCTCCCTCAGAGAGAGTGCCCGCTCTGGGCAGATAATAATAATAATAATAATAATAATAATAATAATAATAATAATAAAAAAAAAAAAGACTGAAAAATGACTGGCATTGGAACGAGGAAATGATGAAGCATCTGTAAGGACTTGGCATCAGCTATGCAGACAGGCTATAATACAGCCCAGCCAAGATGGAGGGCAAATAGAGGCGTCCTTTTTTGGAGGTGATCAATTCTCAGATGGAAATCCAGTCCATCTGATACTGTGAAGCAAACGTACCTGATTGTCCTACAAAACAGAGTTAATGAAAGGCCACAGAGGGCCACTGAGGGGAGGAGGAGGAGGGACATGTACTCGTCAATGATAAAAAAGGGTCGTTTTAAAAAAGGCCAGTTCAGCCTTTGTTCTGCTGTTGTTTTTAGCCATGCTCAAGGTTTAGGATGAATCATAATAACTTTGGCGATCCCTTCACTATCCATCTGGTGTAGCATCATCACATCAAATGTTTTATTTTTCCAATACTTTGTATTATAATATCTGCAAAACTACAGTCATTCCCATTAGCCTTAATTGTGCATTGGTTTTGGTGCTAATTAGCAAATGTTAGCATGCTAAAACACTTAACTAAGTCGATTCACATAGATAATATCATGCTTAGCATCAGGACGTTAGCATTGCTGCTAACCATAGTGTGTATATAAAGATGGATGGCATGACAGCTCCCCAAAAGTGAAGCCAAAACATGTCGATCACCCCCTGGTGGCTGGCTGCAGTATGGGTCATAAACCCCACCCCTCCATGTAAGCACATGGGACATGGGCTAAAATAAAAAGTCAAAGTACATCAAATAAACACCCAAAGATGGTTGCTATCATTTTAGATGTCACGATGATGTGTGTTCAAGTGTTCATTTTTCTGGAAAGTTTGGTCATGACTAGTTATTTGATGTTATAAACATGGGGCTGATGTTATGATTGACAGCTGTGTGTGTCAATCAGTGTGCAATTGGTTGGACAGGAGAATGGGTGGGAACTTGATAGTGGGTAGATTGCTACTGCACAGAGCAAGGGTCGCGTTAACCGGATATTCTCGGTCATTGACCGTTTTTTTACAACAATGACTGGAAAATCTGAAGGCTGTCGGTCATTTTTACCAGTTGCAATTACCACCCCTGCCCACTTGGCGGCGGAGTGCACAGTACTGCAGAGAAAAAGTCATTCATCTGCTTCATGTAGCATTGTTGACATAACGCCCCGGACACACCGGACACGGAACCGAAGCACGGCACCCAGCAGCGGAGGCAGTTGTCAGTCAGCGCCCATGTTAACCTATCTGACTGTCCACACAGGCCGCTGAGCAGAGCGGAAGAGAAGAGACGAGAGAATCCGGCCAATTTTTTCCGCACTGAGGAACGTGAGGAGAAAATACCGTGTTTATAATTTAAAATAACACAACAGTGCATAACCGAACACATTTTTCAATACCATAATCACTTCATTACAATTTTAATTTTGTGTCACCGAGCCTACAGGCATAACTACATAACGCCCTTAACACACCGGACGCTTTAGTGACGTGTTCAGGGTGAAGCCTAATGGCACGGGTGTGTGGATGTCTGTTCATCTTTTCGTTCATGTCCTTATTAATGCACACTTTATAACTTGCTTGTTGGATTTATTAAAAATGAACGAACGAAAACTAAATGTCTTTGAAAATCTTTATTATCATTTAAAAACGAAAATTAAAATGACCGGTAAAAATAGATTATGACCGGATTTTTATGACCCTGTCGGCCAAAATGACCGGCGATGAAAAAGTCTAGCGCAACGTCTGGCACAGAGACACATTGTCCATCTTTATTTACAGTCATTGCTGCTAATGCAGTGATGCTAGCAAGGCTGTCGACTCTTATTCTTGTTATTGCTGCTCCTTGTTTTCCTTATCAAATTTTGAGGAGGGCAGCACAGTAGTACAATTGTTAGCACCCTGAACCCCAGGTGAGGGGTTTCGAACCCTGGGACGGGGAAACCCTTCTGTGCAGAGTTTGTGTATTCTCCCAGTGTCAGTGTGGATTTTCTCTGGGTACTCCAGCTTCCTCCCACAGTCCAAAGACATCCAGGTTAATTGTTGACTCTAAATTGCCCATAGGTGTGAATGTGAGCGTGAATGGTTGTCTGTCTCTTTGTGTCAGCACTGCGATAGTCTAGCAACCTGTCCAGAGTGTATCCCGCCTCTTGCCCAATGTCAGCTGGGATAGACTCCAGCACCCTGTGACCCCTAAAAGGATAAACAGTTACAGAAAATGAAAGAATGAAATTTTAAGGACACCACCATATATATCCTTAACCATATATATCTATTTCAAGAGAGTCTCTCAATACACAAGGCACTAAAAAGACTCTCTGCTACTGCACAGCAGAATAAACAACCAAATGTCACAGTGAAAGGATAAAATCTGGAAAGTCAATCTTGTCATTTTGATGAAGCTGCGTATGCCTCCCCAGGCTAGTCATGACTGATGATGCTGTGGCTCGCTGTCCACCGAGCCCTTCACTCCGTTATATTTAAAGAATGACCATGTGAGAGCCACTTTGTACCGACAGCGAAACCACCAAACATGTATGAAAGAGGAATAATCATACACAAGCTGCTCACGTCTTCTAAGTCCAAAAAGTAACAAATGTGTCTAGGTCTTTGTGACGAGTAAAAGAGATGCCGTGCTCTTTGTTTCCATTGTCTTTCTCATTCTCTTTTTATTCTCACACCATCCCACCGCACTCCCTCTCCCTCAAGGCAGACTGATAAAGACAAATGCCATAGTCGGCTATCATTGCTACGCCAGGGCCCAAAGGGCTGCAGGATCATATTTTTCTTTTTCTCTTGTTTGATGATGTGATTTTGTTTTCTTCAGAAATAGATTTGTCTCTAATGGCTCTGTTTACCTATCCTCTCTTTCCCCCTTTCCCTATTCCCTCTGTGCAAGGGTAAGGATGGAGTGCTTTGGGCCGCACTGTCACATTACCTAGAGTCTGCAGACTTCAGAGCTGCAAACTTCACTTCACACACTTGGGTGTTTTCTTGATACTAGGAATGTGTGGCACACATCAGAATACACATCAACAAAGTGGAAAGCGTGTCTATAACGAGCTGACATGATATGATAGAGAATTAAAGAAGACGTTCATGATAACCGATCTAAATGCCACACACTCACCAGGGTTCCTGTCTGTATTTACTTCCTGCCACTTTTGCTGATGTCAACACTCAATTCCAGTTGACGAGTAAACATGAAATGGATAGTCGCTGAAGTATGCACACTGTCAGTGTACATAAAATGACACTATGGGTTTAGTAGTCCTTTTTATTTTTGTTGTATAATTCACTACTTGATGTATTGATAAAATTTTGCACATTTCAGCACATCCAAACCGTGTGCAGCAACTCTGAATTTAGATTTGATCAGATTCTATGTTTGATGTGTGTGTCAGTAAAACTGCACTTGATAACATGTGCCTGCACTGTTTGCAGCTGCATGTGAGTTTGCTGCCAATAATTTCCATGAATCATACCTTACTACCTTATTGTGACATCAACAATCCACAATGATTATTTTCAAATGTATATATACATCATTTTTGGTCCTATAAAATGTCAAAATAACATGTAATGCTCACATCTGTCTCATAGATTACTGATACGTCCAGTAGGTGGACACAATTACAGGAACACCTGCAGAATATTATGCAAATCCAATATAATAGCCCACTAAAATGTTCACATTTTGTGTCTGCGAGGCCTTGAGTCAACACTCTGGCAGTTTTAGAGGCTATAAAATGGTGCTGTTGTATTATGTTCTATTATAGTGTACATATAATGTGATGTGTTATTGTGTCCATCCCTTGGAGGCTGTTGTCACTGTGCACTATCAAACTTCTATAAAAAAAATGATACATAATGAAAATGTACAACTGGTAGCAGCGAATGCACCTTCAATAATGTCTGCAACATTTTTTACAGGTTATATCGACCACACCTGGAGCGCATCCTCTGCTGTTACTTCTTATAGG